TGACGGCAGGGGGCCGCCGCCGCCGCGCTGCATCATGGGATCGTGGAGGGCCAACCCTACTGTCCAAGAAACGCCGCTGGTTGGCTAGCTGAGCGAGGCCGCGCCGAGGCTGTTCCGAAGGGGCGCATGCGCCGCGCTTACTTAGGCCGGAACTACAAAAGCAGCCTGAGCGACAGCCGCAATGGGCATGCGTCAAAAGTGACGAAAATGATGGTTGGCGACGTGGGTTGCGGACCACTGGACCTACAGCCAGGGAAGCGGGAGAAAACGCTTGGGCTTTGGTGCGCCTGCGCGCTCCAGGGAGCGCTGGGTCCAGGTCTTTCTGGGAGCGTGCGCAGCGACTTCACCGGAGTGAGGTGGCCCAGCGCTGGTAGAGCGGAGGCACACTCAGTGGCCGAGGGTGCTGGGCCTGGCGCACCCGGGCCGCCTGACGAAGTGCGCAGGGAGCTCTGCCCCGGCAAGGCCGGGCCCTGGTGCGGAAATCCGATCGGCGCTCCTAGCCCTGTGCGGCTGGGAGAGGCCTCCAGGGGTCAGCGCCAGCTAAAGCGACACCACCCCGACAGCTGGGGCCAGCCTGGCCTTAAGTCTTCGGTGGTGGAGACTACACAAGCTCCCTTCGACGCATGTTCCAGCATCGGCGCCAACTCCAGGCGTGCTCTAGGCTTGGTGCACCCAGGGGGCAGAATGGTGGGCGCTGAGCACCTACCAGCAGCCAGCCCCTCCTTCCCCCGCACTTCTTGCCTGCTGCTCGCCCTGCTAATCACTGCCTCCCCCTCCTGTCTAGCACTTCCCTCCAGCTGTGCTCAGCTGTTCCCAGTGTGTGGGAGGAGGGAGGGCTGCCTGTGTTCAGGAAAGGGCCGAAACAGAGAGAGAAGAGGCAAAGCGAAGATGAAAGGGTGGAGTAGGAGTGGGAAGAAGTGGGGTGGGGTTGGGGGAAGGTGTGAGGGTGGGACCTGGGGTAGAAGTGGGGGGGATCAAGCACTCCAGATCAAGTCAGTACTAGTGTGTTCCACTGCTTAACTATCTTTATAGTTAGAACATTTTTCCTAATAGCTAACCTAAATGCGCCTTGCTACAGATTACTTCTTGTCCTACTTCTGTTGTCACGAAGAATAATTGATCAGCATTTACTTTATAACAGCCCTTCTCATCTAAAAACTATTATTAGGCCCCCTTCAGTCTCATTTTCTCAAGATTAAAGATGCTCTTTTTTTTCCCAGTTTTCCTCATAAGTCAGGCTTTCTAAGCCTTTTATTTTTTTTGCTCTCCTCTGGACTCTCAGTCTGATTATGCTCTTCTGTATCTTTTTTAACAGCTCGCTAGTGTTTAGGAAAACACCAACTAGATTGTGCATCCCCCTGCCTAAGACTCAGTAGGTTGGAGGGAGGGAGGAAAGTGGCAGTATTCCTGTAAGCTCCACCCACAAAATAAATCCCACCCTTTGAATCACCAAAATGAGATGCTACTTACACAGTAGATTTTGCAGATGGGTTTCTTAAGCTTGGCTCCATCACTGCAGGGATTGACTATGCCCTTAGGCCCAGGCAGAATCAGACTGAGCTCCTTCTTGATAAGAGGAGGGAAATTTGTATTTTCCAAATGCTACCCACTGGTGATATCAAAGAGGCATCACTTATTGTACATCTGAATTAGTTGCCACTACCATTCACACCTCTGAGGAGAGGTGTGCCAGGCTCTCTGCAGATTCATCTCTGCATCAAGTACAGGGAGGGCAGATCTACACTTGAAAACTGTAGCACTTTGTTGGATGCACTATTATGTCATAAAAGAGCTTCTCCTGTTATGTAGTTCATCCTCTTTTTGCGAGATGTGGTAGTTATGTTGACAATAGAAGCTCTCCTATCAACATAATTCTGCCTACGCTGAAAGGTCAGTATAACTGTCATTCAGGGATTTGGATTTTTAACATGCCTGAGAAATATAGTTATGCCAATGTAAATTTGTAGTGTAATCCTGGCCTCTGTCTCCTTTTTGAAGACTTTTTTTTCTATCATAATGACTAGAGACTTTATTTTTTGTCTCTTTCTAGGATACAAATAGACTTACAGCAAAAAATAACTGCATTTTAACACACAGTCCTTCAGGAACTCCTTGCTGGTATTTTAAGCTCATATCCATTGCTCCAGCTCCAATGGGGCCAAGATTTCCCCCAGTACATCTTGATGACAAACTCCTGGGCTGTATCTAGACTGGCAAGTTTTTCCGCAAAATCAAATGATTTTGCGGAAAAACTTGCCAGCTCTCTACACTGGCCGTTTGAATTTCTCCAAGAACACTGATGATCTCATGTAAGATGGTCAGTGTTCTTGCGGAAATACTGTGCTGCTCCTGCTCAGGCAAAAGCCCTCTTGCGCAAATGATTTGCGCAAGAAGGCCAGTGTAAACAGCACAGTACTGTTTTCCGCAAAAAAAAAAAGCCCTGATCGCGAAAATGGCGATCGGGGCTTTTTTGCGGAAAACCGTGTCTAGATTGGCCAGGGACGCTTTTCTGCAAAAAGTGCTTTTGCGGAAAAGCATCATGCCAATCTAGACGTGCTTTTCCGAAAATGCTTTTAATGGAAAACTTTTCCGTTAAAAGCATTTTCGGAAAATCATGCCAGTGTAGACGTAGCCCTGTTGTGTAAATGCTTTGACACACACAACTTGTTAAGAGTTCCCTACAAACAAAAGAGTGGATTAAACCTACCTAGTCTCCTTAAGGAGTGGTTTGATGATTGCATTAATCTCCCCCAATGAAAAGCCATTACAAGATGCAAGTCTGCCCCTGCATCTAATAATTTTTGCAAGGTTTCTCTGAACCACTTCTATTTCTGAGATGGGAAATGGGTTCAGTGAAAACATTCAAAACAAGGACATAAATATCAATGAATACATTGGCATTTATAGTATCTTCATTATTATTTCTATCTTTTTCTACCAATTTGATTGCTTTTAATGAATAGCATTGCACATTAAACATGTTTTCATTGAGCTATACTATACCAGGCATATATAGGGTTAAACAAATATATTAAACTGATACCACTTTTGAGGCTAATTTTTCATCCTGCTTTGCACCCATGGCACTGCTCTGGTGGCACAAAGAGACTTTCTAGAAGGTTTCTGAACCCCAGCTGCACTGATGCATGCAGCCCACAAGTGGGACAATGCATCGTCCACAAAAACAAAAGACAAAAGTCAATCTGTGGCAAGGGGGCACCATGATGCATCACTGAGAGATCTATGTCTTTGGCTGAAATAATTTCAGAATATAAGAATAATCTTTTTGCTTATGATATGCATTGGAAGATTAAGAATTCTGATGACACTTTTAATGGTGTCTTTTTCATAGAATGTCATGCATCAGCTATTCTACAATGGTTGCACATTACAATTCCACATTTTGTGCAGGCCCTCCATTTCTCTTGTGACAGTCTTGCAAAAGCAATGCATATCCTCATAAGGTTTAATTACCATCATTCCCACTGTCTGGGACTTTTCAGTGCATATTCCTGTCATTCACAACTTGGTTAGAATGTAGCAACGTGTTTGCTGACTGGTGTGAACAACTATTTCCTATCTCAAAAAATTTAAAATAGTCCTGCAGCACCTTAGAGACTAACAAAAAATGTAGATGGTATCATGAACTTCCATGGGCACAACCCACTTCTTCAGATGACTGGAGTTAAGGGGTCCAGGGTCCAAATAAATAGCAGAGAAGAGAAGGATAAAAATGGAGAAAAAATATTGTCAATTAGAGCAGGGCTACTCAACCTGTGGCCCATTTGTTTGTGGCCCACAGTGTGGTTTGAGTTTAGGTGGGGCTCAACACGCCATCCACAGGTGGGATCCTTGAACATGGCCTCCACTGGGAACACACTCCACAACGGCAAGGCGTCTCCCTGGTGGGGTGAGTATTGAAAGACTCAAGCAGACAGCTGGCTGGAACAGACAGGTACAGGGTGTCGGCATTTCTAGCCCCTAGGAAAGAGGTGCCATGAGCACCGGGGCATTGTGGGAAGTGTTGGCTGCTTATCCTTGTAGACAGAGCCTGAGAGGTGCTGATGGGCTCACACTGGCCACGTTTGGGTCCAGTACCGAGGCCAGGCAGCCCTGTCTATGTCCTGCACAGAGCGACCAACTCCTGAGTGGGGACATCTGTCCTGCTTGGAATCCAGGATGGAGCTCCTGGGTACCTGTCCTATTTTGCCTCTTGTGTCTGGCCTGACTCACCCAGCTCCCCTCCCATCGCAGGTTGGAGCACTCTGACTTGGCAACTTTTCTTTTTACAGTAAAATCACTCCAAGAAACACAACCTGAAGCTTCAAACTAAACACCCAAAACACTGGTATACAATTTTATTTTTAATGAGAAGCATTTAAAATGGCAACAAAGAGATACTTGTTGGATGAACACAGGGTTTTCAACCCTGTTTGGGAGATGGAATTCTCTTTTGCAGAGATAAATGGAAAACCAATGTGTCTTCTTTGTCAAAAGACTCTCACTGCGTTAAAGAAAACAAACCTGCAACGGCACCATGAATCTTGTCACTATCCACCTGACAGCAATTTAAAAAAAAACTAAGATATGTTCCTTACTGGAAGGTTATCGTACTCAACAAGATATGTTCTGTTCTCAAGTTAAAGACAGCAATGCCATTTTAGAAGCCTCCTTCAAAATGGCTTGGCACATAGCTAAATCAAAAAGACCTTTTACCAAAGGTGAATTGATGAAACAGTGCTTCTTGGTCTGCATCAAATCACTTTTTGCAGAATTTAAAATCAGAGAGGAAATAGTTAAATATCAAAACTGTGTGTGTCTGATTCAACTGTA